GTTTAATAATATATTTTCAATTTATATATGTAAAAGTTAAAAGGTATTTTCACTTTTGTTTCTTCGTCATCTTTGACATGCTCGTCAATCGCTAGGTCTAGACACTCCATGAACACAGTCTGGTTCAAGTAAGGGGTTATGATACTAGGTACATTACGTTTTGCAGTTTCAGCAACTTCAACAGTTTTTTCGACACCTGACGGCTTCAGCAACGTGTTGCTCGAATGGTTCACTAGTTGTTTTCTTTAGTAATAAAAAATTTCCTTCATCAGTTTGAAGAGCAGAAATATCCATGGTTCTTCCATTTTCTTCTTTAGGTGATCTGATGGATTTCTTTTAACAACTGGAGGCGTAACCTCCTTCTCAAATACAATAGTTTTGGAGCTGAGACTTTTAACCTCTCTTTCATCAGCATCGTCCATCATTTCTTATTCTCGCCATAGGTGAGAATAGATGAATTACATAGAGAGAAAATATGAGTGAATGAATATGGGGATAGAAACCCATAAAACACCTTTGTAACCACAAAAAATTGCATTGAACACAACCCACGACTTTGTTCTAGCCTATTTCGCTACACCATGTTGTGTCAAACTGTGGTTATAATGTCGTATTAGTATTGCTTTATTCTACATTTTTTTGATTAATCTATTTGAATAGAAAACTCTATATATAAAAAAAGAATTGTGAAAATTGATTATAAAAACTGAAAAATTCCATTATTTTGATCATCAAAGTAAGAAGGCTATATATAGACAACATAAAACAGATTCAATAGAGTCAAATCTAAATAATCTGACCAAATCTAAATCTAAATCTAAATCTACTAAATTTTAAACTGAATATCTAAAAGATTTCAACATTCCCTCAAACTCAAGTGGTATAACAGAAACCAACTTGAATTTACAAAAATAGATCGAAGATGACGCAGGCACAATCGTCCATCATGTCAGAATCGGAAGCAGTGTCTTCAACTGAATTAGAGTCAGACTAATTATCATCAGAGTTGGAAAACGCGTAACGGAAAAAAACCGAAACTCTCTTGGGAGCCTGGAAACCACATAACTCTCACCATAGCCGGGAAAACTACAGGACTTTCAACGCAATCGGAAGCAACTCTTTGTACTAAACCATGACAAACTATCAAAGACCCAACTTGGACGCAAAATTAAAAAAGAAACTTGATGGACGATTAATTGCAGAAGGATCTCAAAATTGAAAGACCTCCATTGACACCATAAAATCATAAACAAAAACCTCAAAATTGGAAACCTCCGGGTACATTACCTAAAATATACCTGAAGAAAACACGGGTTGGTATATTATATCTAATTTAGAAGAAAAATGAGCTCCGATACTATCTGAAAAAATTTTTATGAAAAATTGAAAAATTGCATTATTTTGATAAAGAGACCTATATATAGACAACGTAAAACAAACACTCAAATATAAATAATCTAATATATGAATAAGATCAAATTTGAATATAGATTTATTCAATCTAAAACTAAATATTTAAAATATTTTAACAAGAATATCATCCATCAATTTACTCGGGTCTGAAAACAATAATATTGATAGTTTGGCAGTGGCTTTTAGCAAAACACCTACAACGTCTAAGGATTCACCGCAAACAACGGTCCAACGGAATAATGACAAAAAAATATCTATTTTCCGCTAGTCCTTCAGTTATTAGAAACAACAGTTCTGTGAAAAAAAACTTATTAAGTTTGGTCAGGAGTTTTTTCAAAGCACACTCGACGAATAGTGGCGATGGAGTTTTACGTTCATAAAAAAAAAAAAAACAAACAAAAACAAAAACGCAAAAAAAAGGAAAGATTTGACGTATAATAATAGTCTAAAGAGGGTCCATCTAAAAACATACGTGGGTACTAATTTGTTTTTGTGTATATAAAATATCTTGTCAAATTAGTATTGATTAATAATAATCCAAAGAGAGAACCATCAATTAATTGTTTCACTCTTGAAGATTCTGGAAATAAGTTTTTTTTTTTTTTTTTTTTGAAATGCTAATATATTTAAATAATTAATTAACAATTTAGATTGAGGTTTTGAAGTTTTGGGTTTTTTAGAAAATTTTAAAAGTATAATAAAATTTTATTATAGAACCGATGTTGGTCGCCTAAACATAATTTTGTTAGCATCAAGTTTAAGCATTCAAATCAGATCTATTGATAACAATAAGATTAGCGGTGGTCCAAAAAAATGCAAATCTAATGAAAAAAACATAGATCGATTGATAAAAATAAGATTAGCGGTGATCAAAAAAATGCAAATCCAATGAAAAAAACATAGCCCGATCAATGACTTATGAGTAGAGCTAGCAAAAACTGACCCGACACGACAACTTGACACGAAATAATTGGGTTTGAGTCAAAGATTTCAACCCGATTATATATACGGGTTGACACGAACCCGACACGACAACCCGATTATAATATATTAATATTGATTAATATATTTATTATATATGTAAAATAATCATAATTTATTAATTTTCTCATAAATTAATTTAAACTAAGTTTAATTTAAATAATTCAACCTAATTTACGCTCAAATCAATAAAAACTAACATAACACGATAACACAACAAAAAATTATTTAATTTGAATAAAAAAATTCGACATAATTATGTATACGGGTCAACACGAGTCAATCCGAACCCGACATGATAATAAACGGGTCAATACGTACCCGATACGATAATAAACAAGTTGGGTTATGATTGAGTAATTTAACCCGTTTACAACCCGACACGAACCCAATACGAATCGACCCATTGCCAGTTCTACTTATGAGGTTCGATGATTGAAAGGGAGAAGAGACGAGTTACTTTAAGAACTAGTGGGATTGATGACCATTAACAAAATCATTAAAAAAAATGAAGGTTACCAAAATCTTTGGACTTGCAAAGTAATATGAATTTATTAAACAATTATGAAGGATTATGAGTACTATTATAGGAGGTTTAATGTAAGACTTGATGAAGATATTTTGTGTAAAAAGTTCTAGTCACATTCATCCACTCAATCTATCTTTTATTTGCATTTTCATTTCCTTGCAATTTCTTTTTTTTTTTTCTTTTTCTTTTTTTTAATAATTTATAAAATAAAGTAATTTGATTTTGAATCAATTACTGTTAGTTTGAATCAATTACTATTAGTTTATGCTGCCTTTTCTTTAATTATTTTACATTGTCCTTTTTCGAAAATTTTCCTACAAATTTTTAGGCCGACCAACCATATGATATATATATATTTTTAATTACTTTTTAAGAATAGTATCAAAACAGGAGAATTGCAAAAGTATACCTCATTATCACTTTTGTCATTTATTTATGTCGTTGGTAAAATATATATGTCTGCAAAAGTCGTTATTTCTATCATTTGGCCGCGCGTAGTCGCGCGAGGTATGAATGTCATGCGTGGACAAAAGACATAAATAGTGACTTTTGTAAACATGTCGGATATATTTTGTAAACATCATAATATAAATTAATTATTTCTATAAATTATAAATTAAATTTATTGTTAAAATAATATTTTAAAATTTTTGCTATAAATTTTTAAAAATATATTTAATGATGATTATTAAAAATATATATTAATATATTATTATTTTTATACTTTTTTTTGCAATTATTTTTTAAAACTATTAAAAATTGATTATTTTTTATATTATGAAATAATTGTAAAAAATATTTTTGTTGAATTATAAATATGTATATCATATAATTTTAACAAAAAAGTAAAAATATTAATAAATATAACTTACAATATGATTATATTGAAAACATGATCATGAACATGACAAAAAAGATGGCCGTTGAGAACATGGTTATGAACATGACCTAAAACATGATTGTGTTGAGAATATGATTATAAACATGGACAGAAACATGGTTGTGTTCAGAATACGGGCATGAACACAGCCGTGTTCAGAAGTGCAGGATACTCAACACGGCCGTGTTGGCTGTCTGGACGCTCAGTCACCCTTCTAAGTCATCAAACACGGCTGTGTTCAGTCCCAGTCAACCATCTTGAAATTAAAATTAATAAATTTTCATTTGAGTGAGACCAAAATTGATAAAATATTTTGAATGAGAACAAAATTGATAATTATGATATTGAATAATACCAAAAATAATTTTTCCTCTTATATTAATATAAAACATGAAGTTGATTTAATAATAAAAATGTGAACGACTGTATCTACCCAAACAAGTACATGTTATTTTCTAAAGTAATATTGTTAATTAACATACATAATAATTAAATATATGTTTTTATGTGTGTCTATTTAATTGCGAAATTGATTATTGTAAAAATAAACAATTCTTTAATAATATAATTGAAAATAAGAATATACATATATATATTACAATAATTTCTAACAAAATCAATCAAAATATCATTCTTTATGATAATTACATTTCGTAACTTACAATAAAGTTTTCGAAAGACCGTACATTTTTTTCTTTTTTCCCACTTGCAAAATAAATTTTGGAGCTTTGTACTTTTTGTTTCTATCGAAAAGGCAAATAACAAAGATCATCAAGAAAAGTGAACATGTGATCCTAAATAGTTGTACCCCATATCGAATGTATGTGGTATTCAAAATTATTTATTTCATTTTACTTTTTTATTATAAACAATATCTTCTTCAAGGTTGCTGATCCTGTATTGATCCGGCCAGGTCAACATGATGTTGATCTGATCAGATCAATATATGTCATGAACATAACCGACATATATTTACACATAAGACTGAGTTATAGTGTAATATATGATGAATTATAATATAATAAATATACTGAAATACATAAATATAGGTAGATTAAGTGTGCAATATATACTAATCCAGTCAAATCAATACTATACTGACTTAATCGGATCAGCGACAACTGATTTATGTCCCTTCTTCAATTTATAAATAGCTAGAAAGGGTTATTTAGCTTCCAATTCATTTGTTCATATTCTACAGCCAAATATTCCAAAGGAACCTAAGATGGAAGTCTTTTGTGCATTAGTATTAGCCCTAGCCTCCATAGTTGCCTTAGCTTTTGTCTTTAACAAACATAAACCAAAACTCAAATTCAAATTTCCGCCGGGCCCAAAACCATGGCCGATTATCGGCAACCTTAACCTCATTGGCTCCATACCGCATCAATCCCTTCACTTCTTGTCCAAAAAATACGGTCCAATAATGTACCTAAAGTTCGGCAAGTTCCCAGTTGTGGTTGCGTCGACACCTGAGATGGCCAAGGAGTTCTTAAAGAATCACGATGCCGAGTTTGCATCTAGGCCCTTACTTAGTGCCGGTAAGTACACTAGTTATAATTATTCGGACCTAACGTGGTCACCTTACGGACCATATTGGCGACAAGCGCGCAAGATTTACCTCTCCGAGGTATTTAGTCCAAAGAAAATGGAATCCGAGCTCTTTGAGCAAATTCGCACCGAGGAGAGGCGCGATTTGATGTCACGCCTCCATTCGCTCTCTGGGAATTCGTCTGTGTTGCTTAGGGACCATGTTTTTCGGTATGCATTGTTGACTATAAATAGGATGGCGTTAGGACAAAAGTATTTTAACGATTGCGAAGATGAGGAATCAAGCCTCCAGTTCGATGAGTTCCATGAGATGTTAGATGAGTGGTTCTTGCTCGGAGGGGTTTTCAATATCGGCGATTGGATACCGTGGCTGCAATTTCTCGACCTTCAAGGATATGTTAGGAGAATGAAGGTTTTAGCAAAGAAACTTGACAAGATATACGAGGTTGTGATAAACGATCACGTGAAGATGGCCGCGACGAATAATTCCGGCCGGAAAGACACGGTGGATCGGCTACTAGAGCTGGCTGAAGATCCAAATGTGGATGTTAAGCTTACGAGAGATCAGATCAAGGCTTTGATCCAGGTAACAAAGTTTAAATGTAATGAACCTCTATACGATTTCAGAAGAAAAAATTATACTTACTTGGTCCAAAATCAACTTTTCTCTTTTGCTATTTTGATCACTCCTAATTCAATTTATTTGGTTTTAATAATTATTGCCTCGAAAATTATTATAAAAAAGCATTATATATTTAGCTATTATTGACATAATATCATCGACATAATGTGACAAGATTATATAATATGCCTAGGAATAAAATTGTACATTATCCCTCTATTTACTACATATATATATATAGTACTCAATTCGTCCCACTCCAAATGACCCTTTTGGGTTTTAATGGTAAATTAAGAAATAAAATTATTTATTTGTTAGTGGAAATGTATAAGTGGTTTTGTCATTTTTGTTCTTTGACTTTACGTATAAAATAATTGTATGCATAATGTTATGTTTATAATTTAGGTAAAATTTGATACGTTGGTATTAATATACAATTATTTTTATTAAAATAGAAAATACATACTTCGAAGTAGAAAAAAGAAAAATAATAAAAAAAATTATTTTAAATTAAAACAGAAAGAACATTTAATATTAAAAAATCTACATGAATAAATAAATATATTGATACGGGAGAAAGAAAATATATTTTCGTCCAAACTCAATGTATAAATAAAAGTAATAATATTTAAATACCAAAGCTTTTATAAAAATATTAATTTTTTATACTTTTAAGAGAAAAAAATATCAAAATTATGTTACACAACTACTAACTAATAAAATATTATTATTTTTGTAATTTACTATAAAAACACAAAAATATAATTAAGTTGAGACGAAATGAGTATATATTTATAGATATCATTTCTATTGTTACAAGAATACGACAAGTATCATTTTTTTAAAAAAAAAATCCCTTAGATGTAGAAAGAGTGCTAAACTATTTGAGCTACCATTCATAAAGAATGATCTATTGTTGATGTGAGATGAACTTATGATCATGAGATTCTATAAGTTTAAATTTCAATGTAATTGAATTCTCACGTCATATATATATATATATATGAATTATTTTATATTTAATTTAAAATTATTCTGCTAAAATAAACCATCAAAGTCAGATATATCAAATAGAAGGGGACACTATTTTGGTTGGCTATATAATTCATTTCAATATTAGAAAGTAAACTCTAAACCCAGTATATCTAACATTTTAAATATTATTTAATATAATATTGTTTCAAATATTTTATAAAAGAAAACAATATATTTAAATTATAAAGTACCTCAAATTTAAAATAATTTAAAACATTGATTTGAAACATTATTTTCAAATCCAAATTCATGAAATCAATCAATGACACCAATGTGAAGTTTTGTCTTATTTATCACACTTCCTTAGAGGCACAGAATACGACTTGAGATATGGAGCTATTCGGACATATTTGTTCATTTATATATATATATATATATATTCTTGATTCTATCATATAATTTTATTTTTTTTTTTGAATATCATATTTAATATTTATTTTATTTAAACTATTATATCGATAATAACTGAAAAAACCTATTAAATGTGTACTAATATTTAAAGAGTAAATTGTATTTTAATAAAAATGCATAAAATATCCTATATTTTATTTATTGTATGAAATTTCATTGTGTTCTTATCCAAAACCGATGTTTGATTATAAATAAAAATCTAAATTACGCAAGTTTTATACAAATAAAAAACATAAAATATTTTAAAATTGTTTTTGAATAAAATAAATAAATAAATAAATAATTGATCAATAATTTATTTTTATAATTTTTGTAAAAATCAAATAAAAAATTATCTCAAAAAAACTATAAAATGAAGGATTAATTAATTTTTTATTTTATTTTATTCAAAAAAGTTATTTAAGATATTTTACGGTTTTTATTTGTATAAAGTTTGTGTAATTTACGTATTTATTTTAAACAAAACATCAGTTTTGGACAAGAGGGTATTTTGTACAAATTTTATATTAAGACAAGGGGGTTTCACGCAACAAATAAAACACATGGATTTTTATGCATTTTTTCTAAAATACAATGGGATGCTATATAATTTACCCATATTTGAATAAAGATAGTGAATTCTATAACCTTTTTTTTGTCTAATCGAATTACATATTATGCTGTTTTGTCCCTTGTTTTTTAAAATTTATAGAACCTAATTGTTGGTGGTGCGGACACAACACGAACCGTGATGGAATGGATTGTTCAAGAACTCATGAGGCATCCCCGAGTATACGAGAAGGCTAAAGACGAGCTCAACAGGGTAATAGGAAAAAATCGATGGGTAGAGGAAACCGACTATGCAAAGTTGCCCTACATAGAAGCCATTATCATAGAGACCATGAGATTGCACCCTCTAGCGACATTTTTAGCCCCTCATTACGCCATGGATAATTGTCGCATTGCTGGCTACGACATACTTAAGGGGACAACAATTCTCATTAATACATGGAGTATTGGTAGGGACCCCGACTCTTGGGATGCTCCCGAGGAGTTTATACCTGAGAGGTTTGTTGGGAAAAAAGTCGATATTCTAGGAATGAACTTTGCGCTATTGCCATTTGGGTCTGGTCGAAGGAGATGCCCGGGATATAGTCTCGGGCTAAAGAGCATGTGGGCAATTACGGCGAACCTCCTCCATGGGTTCGACTTGAAGTTGGGAGATGGAATGAGGCATGAAGATGTGAGTTTGGAGGAAGTTTATGGGCTCACTACACATCCTAAACAAATTCTTTCGATCATTTTGGAACCTACTCTTCCTAAGGAACTTTATTGAATAAAATTGGCTTCAAATTTGAAGAATTATGAATGGTTGATTATTGGGGTCTACAAAAGACTTGGACCAAATGAATTGATCTAAAAAACATGTACTACCCATGCTAAAAAAGATATGGAGTAGAAAATAATGAAAAGGCTAAACTTATCCATTTATTTTTGAATATTTTCCAAAATTTATTCACCCTCAAATACTTCATATTAATTGAATAAGTTTTGTGGGGATATTTTTTGTTGCTATTAAAAAATAACAATTAAAATAAATTAATGAAAGAGAAAAAGAGGGAAGAGCACGAAAAAATAGTTATAAATGAATATATATATATATATAATACTTTTTCCATTTCATAGTATTTGTTTATTATTTCTATTATCATATGTTTCACATAATTTAATTTAATATGAAATGTTTTTTAATCTTAATAAAATTAATTAGTTATTTTAATTTTAATTTATAATTATTTATATGATATAATAATTATTTTTACATAATATATTTCTTATTTACTAATTTTAGTTCATCTAAGCTTACACTAAACTGGACATATAACGTAGAATGAAGAAAGTAACAAATTAATAGAAGTATTTCGATGACACAGTTGGTCCTAGGAAAGGGCAAGAACAATGCCTTTGAGTCTCTACCCAAGGCCTATTTGTTAAGAGCAATTACAAATGGCTCTTTTCTATGTGGCCTCAATCATTTGATTCAAGCATTTTTAATTAAATTCGAAAAAATTTCTATATATTGATCTTAATCTTTGGTTAAAAAAAAAAAGAAAATGGCATTAACGTAGTTTATTTATTTATTTTTTTTATGAAGTGGGAATCCGCAACTGCTAAAACTTAATACTCTGCAAACTATACTCGACAGGCAAGTCACACTAGGTCAACCATGTGTAGCAGGTCACCTGAAGCGTCGAGGATTTTGTGCAGATGAGGCTGCGGCTAAGGTACTTTTTCTCTCTTTTTTTCATTTATTTATCTCTTTTCTATTTTTTCTCTCAACCTTTTTCTCTCTTTCTGCTTCCTATCTTTTTGTCTCTCTCCTTCTCTCTCTTTTTCCCTCCCATCTCCCCTCTTATGTTTTTGTTCTCTCTCGTATGAGAGCATTGAAATAAAGAATCCAATGTAGAGCAAACCAACGAAAGTAAAGGTGTAAACTTTTATTCAACCAAATCTGATAAAATAATGAAAGGAAAAATATAATATTCTCAACTAACTTCTAAGAACAAGAACGACTGATATTTATAGAAAATAAATAATAAAAATAAGCAACTAACTACGTGACTCCAAACTTATTTTCTTAAATTTAGCAACAACTTAACTGACTTTGACTTATTCAAATAATAAAATATCTAAAAACAATAGATTTATTCAACTTAGTAAATTTCACTAACTTGCTACATCCTCCCTTAGTGCAAATTTACGGTCAATGATACCAAGAGCTTCACGAAATACCTCAAACTTGGCCTTGGCAAGCGGTTTTGTAAATACATATGTAGCATTATCATCTGTCCGAATCTTCAGCAACACAACGTCTTGACTTAACACCTTTTCTCGCACAAAGTGGTAGTGAGTTTCAATATGTTTTGTGCGCGCATGAAACACTGGATTTTCGGAGAGCTTGATCGCACTTTCATTGTCACACCTGATCGGAATTGCATTTCTGATGGGCACCAGAATTTCCTCCATAAGCCTCTTAATCCATAGACATTCTTGTATTGCCATAGTTGCGGCCATATATTCCGCTTCACAACTTAAAAGGGCTACAAAGTTTTGCTTTTTGCTACACTATGATATTGCAGCAGAGCCTGTTGTAAAGTAGAACCCAGTTGTGGAACGCCGAGTACTTACATCACCGGCCCAATCAACATCGACAAAGCCGCTTAGATAAAATGGCTTAAATTTATTGTACATCAATCCGTAACTTTGAGTGCATTTGACATACCGAAGGATCCTTTTTGCTGCAATGAGATGTGGGTAACAAGGTTTATCCATAAATTTTGAAATAACTCCAACGGAGTACGCAATGTCGGGTCTCGTAATTGTTAGGTAGAATAAGCTACCAATAATTTTTCCAAACATGGTTGAATCCTTCAGCAACTTTCCTTCATCTATGGACAACTTTAAAGAGGATTCCATGAGAGTAGTCATAACCTTTGATTCCACCATTTTAAATCTTTCCAGCAATCTCCTAGCATATCCAACTTGAGAGACAAAATATCCAGCAGGAGAATTTATTATTTCCAGACCAAGGAAGCATTTGGATTCACCCAGACGTTTCATTTCAAAACACAAAGAAAGATCATCTTGCAAACGAGTAACTTCGGCATGATTGTCTCCTATGATAATCATGCCGTCCACATACAACAGAAGCAAGATATTTGCAGTAGTTGTTTTTCGAATGAACATGCCAGGATCTGCATTTGATGATTTAAAGCCACAAAAGATAAGATATTGAGCAATTTTACCGTACCATGCACGCGGGGCTTGTTTCAAGCCATATAATGCTTTCTTGAGTCGACAAACGTGATCGGAAAATTTTGTGGATACAAAACCTTGAGGTTGTTCCATAAATATATCACGATCCAAGTCTCCGTAAAGGAAAACGTTTTTCACATCTAACTGCCACAATTTCCAATCCTTGCAAGCAGCTAAGGAGATGATGGTTCTTACCGTTACCATTCGGGCTACAGGGCTAAATGTCTCATTGTAATCTTGCCCATATTTCTGTGAAAACCACGACCTACGAGGCGAGCTTTATATCTATGAATTTTTTCATCGGTTCCTTTCTTAGCTTTAAAGACCTACTTGCAAGAGATTAAATCGACATCCTTTGGTTAGGGTACCAACTCCCAAGTGTTATTTTTGTTTAGTGCCAATATCTCTTCGCGCATTGCTTCCTCAAATTTTGGGAACCTCTTGGCTTCATTGTAAGATGTTGGTTCATCTTCAAAATGTTCTCCCATGAACAAGCACGAGCGAATGGAGAGCTGATTCGCTTCAACTTGATAGTCAACTAAGTAACTTGGTGGTTTCCTTTGTCTTGTCCCCATTCGTGGGACAACATCAACAGTCTTGTCCAGTTGCACATCTTCTTCAGCCAAAGGAACATTTGTCTCCGACGAGAACTCGTCGTTATCAGAATGATTCAGCTGTACATCATCTTCAAACAAAGGAACCTTTCTATTGGGAGGGAATATGTCATTACTTTGGCCTCCATCATACTGATTTGATGAAAATTCATCAAACACTACATCACGAGAAATGATAACAGTTCTTGTGTCGGGATCCATGCATCTCCAATATTTCATTTTGAGTATCAAGCCAACAAAAGTGCAACGTCTAACCTTTGGATCCAGTTTAGTTCGTTTTTGTTTTGGTATATGAACAAAACAAATAGATCCAAAAACTCGAAAATTACTTACATTTGGTTTACTATGATATAGTAGCTCGAAAGGAGATGGGTCGTTCCCTGAACATGGCGGCAACCGATTTGTCACATGACATGACGTATGAAAAACAGTTGCCCACAGCTCTCTTGCAAGACCTTTTTCATGTAGCCAGCATAGGCATATAGATGTAAGATGAGCTAATTTACGTTCAACAATTCCGTTTTGTTGCAACGTGTCTGGACATGTGATTTGACGTTGGATCCCATGCTCCTTGCAATAATCTGAGAATTTATTTAGTAAAAATTCTCCACCATTATCCGTGCATAGGCAATTAATAGAAGATCTCAATTCCTTTTCTGCAGTACCCTTGAATTGTAGAAATTTAGAAAAGGCTTTATTTTTGTGGACTAAGAAATGTACCCAAGTAAATCGAGAAAAATCGTCTACAAACACTATCACGTAGTGAAACCCCGTGTAGCTCGGTACGCTGGTTGGTCCCAAAATATCAGAATGAATCATCTGGAGTGGCCTGGATGCTCGATTTTCTGAATTTGGAAATGGGTGACGGTGAGACTTTCCGTATAGGCAACCTGAACAAATCTCATCATATCGGATATTTCTAAAGATAGAGTGCCATTTAGAAGAAGCTTCACAGAGATTTTGTGAAGTAACTGATAACTGACATGGCCCAAACGAGCATGCCATAATGCCAAGCTTGCTGTTTCACCCGTCCTTTTCACATACTCAGCACTTGCTGACAACGCATATAAAGAGTCTTTTCTCTTTCCTGTGAACAAGACATCAGCATCAACCTGCCTCATGTTTGATAGAACTTGAATATTGTTAGGACCGAAAAGAATATATTGACTAGAATCAGTTAATTGTGAGACAGAGGCAAGATTCATTGTCAGACCAGGAACGTGATAGATGTTCTTCAAACAAATATCTCCATTATTTGAATCTCCTTCATTTTTCACCGTGTGTAGTGAGTTATCCGCAGTTATGACAACCTTTTTTCCAAGATGTGGACGAACACCATAAAGTAGTTTGATATTTCTGGTAGAGTGGTGAGAACATCCATAATCAATTATCCATTCTTTGTTTTAATCAATAAAAGAATTTTTATATGTTGCTATGTCAGTCTTGGGCAATACAACATTCTTCTTCATTTCTTGATCAGCAATTTCAATGGAAAGACATTTCTCCCAATTTGGTTCTTGAGGATCATCTTTCTCCTGTGCAACATTCACTTAAGCATTGTGCATTTTAACACTGCAATTTGACTTAATATGCCCTTATTTCCCACACCGTTCACATGTCACTTTTGCCCTACAAAAACGTTTGATGTGACCCATCTTCCCACATTTGTAACAGGATTTAGATATATCCTTCGGTTGCTCTTTCTCTGTTCCCTGTTGTCGCAAAGAACTTTTCTTCTTTCGATCCTTGAAGTAGAGAGCACTATCTATTTGTGAGGAGGGCTGCTTGGTTGACATTTGTTGCATTAGTGCCTGTTGATTTGAAAGCAAGTTCTATAACTCAATGACTGAAGGTTGCGTTGGCCACCCTTGTATGGAAGATACAAATGGCATAAAATCCTGACGCAGGCCACAAACCAGGTATCTACGCAACCGATTTTCACTGACTTTTTTTGTCGGCTTCAATTCTGAAATTTCAGCGCAGAAACTCTTGATCTTTAAAAAGTATTTTGCAATAGATGAATTACCTTGAAAAGTTACTGCTAACTCATTTTCAAGAT